TATATATATATATATCTTTTGGCTTTCTGTAACAGTCCACTCGAAAGGAGAAAAAAAACAAAAAATGTTTGTTGATCAAATTGCAAGACACTTCTCCACTCATCTAAGTTTGAAATGATAAAAGCTTATCACCTCTAAACAGTCTTTTTTTTTTTTTTTTTTTTTTTTACAATTTCTAAAAGACAAAAAGGTTAGCAGAAGGGAGCCAACTTTCACCTTTTCTTGCGTTCTTCAAGGGCAAAAAAGTTGCTTCCTAATCTGGGGACAGAGCTTTTGTAATTTTATTTTGTGGAAACTTACTTAAACCTTCAGCCTTTTGCCTCCTTCCAAGACAGCATCACAATGACATCACAACAGGATGATGATTGATCAACTTAAACCTTTTTTTTTTTTTTCTCTGGTGCAATGGGTGATGTTGACCTCTCCTTCAATTTTGAAGTTGACTCCATTGTTTTTCTATGGATCTTCTGGAAAGGTTCATTATGTTTTTCAGGAAGCTTACAGATAGCTTCTAAAGTTTCTGTTTAACCATGTTTTGCCTTTTCTTGTTAAAAAGGTTTTAGGATGTCAAGTTATACCAGTTATATACTTCAGTGCCATACAATTGAGAGCAGTTACCGTAACGTTAGTCCCCCACAGGGGGATAATCTCTATGATAGTATTGCAGCGTCACTGCACACATCAGTTGACACTGTTGCCCCTCTGAAAAAGAAGGTATGCAATTTGCAATTTTGAGGCTAGCTAACTTTGGAGCTGGCTGGGGACGATAATGCTGAATGCTAGAGGACTGGAGAATTGTAGAGAGGGGGCTGTCCAATACAAGAGTCTCGTCTAGCCGGAAAGACAACAGAGCTGGAAGAGATGGAGATTGGGGGTGACTGGAAGAATCCTCAAGGTCGGGGACCTTGCCATCCTTTGGTGCTTGACTTAGTAGCTAGCATGTTCCCCAGAAAGGAGACTCCTTGGCAGCCTTAGATGTTGTTTCTGGAGAGGCAGGATCTGAAAGGGAGCTGGGTGGAGGTGTCCAAAGGATGTAGACTAAAGGTTAGCTGACACAGGACTTGAAACTCCCTGGTAGCTAACAGGCAATCCAACCCAGTCTAATCACCTGTGGGATAAACTGGGAGCTAGCAGGCCCACATCTGGCCAATTCAGGAGCTGGCCGGGAATTAGCAGGCTGGTTGGACATAGAGCTGGCATGGGGCAAGAAGGCTGGAAAGTTAGGGTGTAAATGAAGTCTTTTGTGCAGCTTTTTTGCGTGCCACAAACAAAGCTGCCTCTGTAAGATCCTTGCTGGGGGCTCCTTTTCCATTACTCCTACAAACAGATTAGGTACTTCAAAAAACATCATAAAATCCATTGTCCACAAAGAGGTGTGCTGGGTCCATTACCTGCCAGTTTGTACGATCATGCAAAACAGAGAGAGGACCCAAAATATAGACATGGACGACTGATGTAAAACTGAACAAAAAGCAAACTTTAGTCCAAGCTGATAAAACAAACAAACAAACAAACAAACAAACAAACAAACAAACAAACAAACAAACAAACAAACAAACAAAAACCAATCCAGATATAACAAAAGCATGGCAGAAAGCAAAACATAATTTAAAAAAATCCAAAAGTAAACAAAAACATGGAATGAACAATGAAGAAACACAAAGGCTTAAAAACCAAAAGTATATACCAGACACACAGGAAATGCTGGGGATACACACAGGGAAAATGGCTGGAACACTGGTGGAAATGACACAAGACAAACCAGAGGGAGACAAGAGGAAAGGAGTGAGTATCTGGGGCAGGGGAGACAATGACACACAGGTGGAACACATTAGGGCGGTACATGTAATCAAACAGGCGGGAAAGCAGACAAAGACCTGGGAGTGTAAAGACAACTGAGACAAATGCGAGTACAAACAACAGGGAAACGCCAAAATAAAACAGGAAATAACTGAAACAACAGCGGGAGCTGAACTTAGTGTGTGCATTATCTGAAAAAAACTTGGTTGTAAACTACTAATTTAACACATAGTGCATTTGTAGTTATTTATTCCTTACAACAGCGTTTGTCTGCGAGAGAATTCCATTGTATAGATCTGTATGTCTGCTCTTAGAAATCAGAACAAGCGATCAAAATTAAAAGGAGTAGGACATTACATTCAGGATAAGGTTTGGTCATGTCGGGCTGAATAGTACACTTATATTTGCAAACCAGAAAATTCACACGACTCTTGATATTTGAGAAATATCGCACAGAACTTCAGGTGATATAGTGTACGGGGCTATTTTCACATCGAGTACACAGAGAGTTTAAGAGAATTGATTGCGCAACTGTTCTCATTCGCACTCCAGTCCAGAAGGTGACGGTAATGTGCCGAAAAGCTGTATCTCAAGCTCATTCACCGAAAAGACGAAGAAGAAGTAGAAGAAGAAGGAAAAAGAAGAAGAAAAACAAGGGCGACATCTGGCTGCTCCACACCTGACTTCATTGAATGAGGTTTAGCACCACTTAGTTTTGGTTCGAACCTAATCCAAAAATTCAACCCTCATTATTGAGTCGGAGGCACTTGGACATACCTTTATATAAATCTGCAGGCTAAGGGTAAGCACTAAATTGTAATACCTCGCTACGTAAGCTGTACACGAACCGGGCTTTTTATTTCGTTGTTGCTTGCATGGTATCTGCTTACATAGCGCTTAGCTAGTCGAGGACAACATGGCTAATAGCTAACATGTTAGCTATTTTGTTAGACAACAAATAATTGCACAACTCTTGTAGTTTTAGCTATTTTAAATTATTGATGATGGTGGTGGTGCTGTGACGTTGGCTGTCCACAGTTACTTTACAATAAGATTTGCAATTAGTGTGACTTTTATTCATTCTTATGTGGTGAAACTGACGGCGATTCTGGTAGGTCTCAACGCGCACAAAATACCCTTGGTATGGACTATTTCCTGCAAGAGATGTCATTACATAGCAGTTTTTATCGAAAAATCGTTTCTGTAAAGGGCGCGGGCAACATTATTAAGTTTTAAAAATGAGAATTTACCCAGTCTCTCCGTTACTACCATGGCTGTCTATAAACAATACACTCTGTCTTGCTAGCAAGGTAAAGTACGTGTTTTTCGCGTAAATGCACATGGTCATAAGAGTGCCGGTGTTTACAGAGCAGCCACACAGGACAAGTACATGTATTATGGATGAAGCGTAGATAATGTAGCAAATGTTGTGGTTTGCTAACACTTGATTACTTATTAGAAGAAGGTAAATCCAGATAACTTGAACAACCATTTAAGCGATCGCATGGTTCTGTTAATTAATAAAATACTTACGTTCAAGAGGGAGTTAATTAGAACTGCCCTTATATACCTGTGTATAAAAGTGATGCCATTTTCAGCTAATTGTGACGTTTGTTTCACCGCCATTGGCAGACGTGAATGGTGCTGTGAAGTGGACAGGGCTTGATTACTCCAGTGATATTTTGGGTGGGTGTTTCTAGAAAAATTAGGTTTGGATCCAACGCGAAGTAATACTTTATGTCCACATTTATCAATACCTTATATAAGTAGAAACACTAAATACACGATCATGTAACAGAGCGAAATATGCCATAATTTATGTGGTGAGTACACTATTAATTGTCTACTTCTCAGTACAATTTAATCACCAAATAATTTTCCCTTCACGGTTTTTTTTGATTACATATGTGCAGTGATAACATATCTTGAGTCAAACATAATTTATGTAGTGTATTTTACAGGACATTGATTGGCATTTAATCAAATAACAAAACTGACTGAAGTGGAAGTATTGTGTGTATTCGACTTTTCAATTTTCAAATCAAGTGAGCAGACTGATGTACAAATTGATAATCAGCACGCCAAAAGTTATGTAATCACTACTCTTTACAATAAGTGGGAAGACTCTATAACATTTGTAGTGGTTATTCATCTCCTCATTTTTGAAACTCTGGCCCCACTTTGCTCATGAATGCTGTTGTTTTGAAAATGGACAGGAGCAGCTCAACAAACCTGTGTATATCCTTCTATTAGAGACCTCAGGGACAGTCAGTTGCCCCTCTTCCTCAGAAAATCAAAGACCAAAATCCACTATGAATTCAACCTACCAACTACCAACAAGTATTGTCTGTTCATCCAAAGACTGATCTAGTATGTCTGTGCCATCGATCCCAACTGAAAATTAAAAACACTACTGAGCTGTAGAGTGAGACTGTGTGACATGTTTCTTCATTGCAAAGGATATGGCTTCAGGACCTTCTTTTCAGTATGTGACTTTTGTTTGATATGCCTTTTGATCCAAACAATTACTGTCATAAGTTTATTTAGACCCATCAGCCACAGCACTAAAACTACGGAGAGGTGCAGTGAATAACATTTATCATCTCTATTTGATGTAGTGTTCTGGTGGGATGCCTTGGTTCCTTGTATTAATTTGCATAGTGTTAAGGATCATACCACTCAGCTAAACATTGTTACAGGAAACTTATTGTTAGACAGTAGAATTTATCAATGTTCCCAAAACTCCTTACATTGCAGGCTAAAGTAGATGCTGCTAGGTGACTGCAGTGCTTTCAGACAGGTGTGTTACTTTGAAAAATTACTTTTGAAAGAGTAAAATAAGGTGTTGTGAAGTCACATTTGTCAGATGTCTGAAATGAAACCAAATTATTTTATCTACATGTAGTGTTGTATAAATCACAGCAGAAGCAGAGTTTTTTGTTGTTGTTGACTTGAGCGCATTTTTACATGTGAATACTGGAGTCAGTTGTGTTAATTTAAAGGTAGGAGGCCAAAATCATGATTGTGATTAATATTCATTTTATTTTCTGCATTTTGTTTTTTTAAAATAATCAGATTGCTTTATCTTTGGAACACACAACAGCTAAACAGCTTGTTTTATGCGTAAGGCACAGACAGACAGAGCAACGGAATAAATAAAAATATAACCTTTCCCCACTGTGGCTAACACAGTAGCTACCTGTGCTAATGATCATTCATTGGCACAAATGGAACCTTTGTTGCCTTTGTGGTTAGTGTGTTGTGTAGTGTATGTACTCTGTATTAGGGTTCGTGCTTCTTCTTGACTGTCGAAATAAGATCTGTGTAAGTAGGAGGACATAGTCTTTGTGCATATGGTCCAGTCTGAAGCAGATTTGAGTTTGTTTTTAAGTGTGTCCAAAGCATCAGAGAGACAGGAGAGTCTTAGGTGGGAACTATCCCAGTAACAACTCTTCAGTTAAGTCTTCAAGTGACTGAAGTGACCCAAGTGTGTTTTGTATTTCCATTGATTGTTACTGTGCGCAAGTGCTCTTTAAGACTGAAAGTGTGTATAGAATTATTAAATAGCAGTAGGATACACTTTTGTCCCTCGTGCAAATACAAATGCTGTACATGGCACAATCAAGCTTGTATGATTTACTGCAACAAATGAGTCGGAGCCAGCATATATTACAATTACAGTCAGATGATAGATTCAGGAGCTGAAATGAGAACAGTCCCCATCTGATTACAGTTCATAAAGGCAGATAAATTATGAGGCATTATCTGGAAACATGTAGGTCTACTGTACATAAGAACATTTCCTGTTGTTTTGAATGGTTTCAGTCCAGCAAGAATTGAGATAAGTAACATAATTGTCAGGGTCTTTGATAAAAGGTTACATTTAATAACTGTGTTTACAATATCAGATATGTTAATGTAAACGGTGGCATTAAGACGAATAGCCACGTGGAAGTTGCACCGTAACTTTGTAGTATTTGGACAAGATTTATATTCACGCTGAATCCAGCATTCCGTAAATGTAAGCAACAGCGCTATTGATTATTGTTAGTACTAAAACCAGATTGTAGGTACACTTCTGCCACAACTGAACTGGTGCGGCGCAATATACAACCGTTAATCAGGATACGTTTGCTCTTCATGCCACTTTGAAACAGAATTTGAAAATTAATATGATTCTTATTCAGATTAAGTTCACATGATCCATGTCTACATATGCTACACGCATGTGCTCCTGTTTCAATTTGTCCAGTTGTCTGCACTGATAGTGTGATTGGTTGTGTCTTACTTGTGCTACATACCTGTGAATGTTAGCCAAATTGTATTTTGAATTTAAGTCTTCAAGCTTTAAAAACCCCCCTGTGGTGAAAATCAAGTTTTTTTTTAGCTATGCTAGAAGACATATCATCAGCTAACTCAATGTCATGGCAGTTTTTGGGTTTCGTACTTAACAATCAAGGGAACTAATCCTGTTAACTTGTTGGGGTGGGGCTTTCTGCATCATTCTTCTTCAGAATCTGTTTGTGGTTTAAACATATATGGCTGAATGTCTCTAGTATTACAGTTTATTGTTGTGTAGTATATAACAGTTTGACAGTGTCTGAGCAGGGTTATATGTTAGCTAGTATGCCCAGCTGCAGCCAGTGGGGAAGGGTAAATGGAGAGAAAGGCAGGTACTATTCTACATTCTAGAGGAACCAAAGGTTTAGAGTTACATATATGCAATTTTTAAGTCGGAGAGGGCTATTTTAAAGTAATAACATCTAAACATTTAACTTTGATACACAGAGAAGAGTTTTTAGTAGTTTCATTAATGCCTGGAGAGGGACTTTAAACTGGTATGCCAACACTGTATTTAAGGTGCTGTGCTTGCATAACTTGCACCACCAGAGGTCAGTCGCTGCTAATAGAACAGGCATCTGAGCTATAAAAAAAAAGAGAGAGAGAGGGCACAGTGGCTGCAAGTAGCTAGGAAATGTAACAGGACGAGTAAAAATGGATACCAAATGGACAATATCATGGACAATAGTGAGGCATGGGTCAGGATGTGATACCCACCCTACCTGTTATAAGACACGCACACAGACGAGAGAGAGAGGGAGAGAGAGGCAGAGACACACACACACACACACACACACACACACACACACACACACACACACACACACACACACAAAGAGGACTTTACTGCTACACAACTTTCTGGCAAGTTATTGATGATTTGTTGGAACAAGGTGCAGGTCAAGGGCCCACTTATATTTTTTGACATAAATTTATTAGCTGCAATTTATTAGACTGCTGGTCTGCTACTACCAACCACAACACTTCAATTCAGCCCACCAGTGTGTTGTATCCATCCCTGCTGTGTCATCCAGCAAAAATCTATGGAAGAAGGGCATTTTCATACATGCTACAATGAGTTTTGACATTGTAGCTCAGCAATTACTCTCCCTTTTTTTTTTCTTTACAAAAATACCAGTATATACCATATACCCTAGTGAAGTGTCAGAAGGGTGTGAAAACATAGGTGATATGAAAGCATGCAATATTACAAGTTCAAGACCACAAGTGGGGGGTATCTAACAACCCCTTAGTTGAGTTTAAGAAGAGTTTTCTACCCTTTCCACTGACTGCTAGCTTTGCCAGCAACTGCCTGAATTGAGTTTCAACTCTATGCCAAATGTTTACAATCCCACTAACAGCCATTAATATTATTATGCTGGACAAATGCAACAGCCTACAGTTGATGAGCTTAAGGCATATCACATCAAGTACTACAACAAAAAGTCTTCTTGAAGTAATTATGTATTTTTTCCAAATTAGACACTTCTGCACACCAGTTTCAGAAGTCCATCCATCCATTAGCTATACACTGCTTCATCCTCACAAGGGTCACGGGGGGGCTGGAGTCTATCCCAGCTGACTTAGGGTGAAGGCAGGGGACACGCTGGACAGGTCGCCAGTCTATCGCAGGGCTACACTGGGACAGGCAACCAAGCACACTCACATTCCCACCTACGGACAATTTCGAATCACCAGTTAACCTCAGCATGTTTTTGGACCCGAGAGAACATACAAACTCCATGCAGAAAGATCTTGGGTGTCCTCACCGGGACTCCAACTGGGGATCTTCTAGCTGCAAAGCAATGGCACTAACTGCCGAGTCACCTTGCAGCCCAGACCCAGAAGTCCTTTGGTAGAAATGTATTATCTAAGATAGGTTTTGTTGATGAGCTCTGGTGTTATTTAGTTTGTAAAAAATAAGTTATTATATGTGGTATTTTTCAAATCCCAATCTGTAAACATTGATGTTGTTGTATTGAAAAATAAATTTGGTTCGTCTGTGTTTTCATTTTGCATTTTTGACAAGATAAAATTATTTGTTCTTTTAAATGTATTTATATTATTTGCCCTGATTTTTTTTTTTTTTTTTATAATCGCTGCATCCCCATAAAATGTTTTTGTTATGTGAGGGCATTGTGTTACAGAATCACATTAAAATATGGAATGCTTTTGAGCTCATAGATGAGCCAACGAGTGTTAGGGCTTAATTTCCCCACATCCTCACCAATAGCCTAAACTCATGCAATGAATAACAATGACATGTTCCTTCTCAAATTGTCAAACATTTGAAACAATTTCTGCTCAACTATCTCTTATGGTTCTATCTCGAATGAAGTGGGTTGATAGGCTCATTTTAAATTATTATTATTTATTTTTAAAAATGAAATGAAATTAATTTATTTACGTTTTTTAAATTTATATGATGAGAGATGGTTAAGCAGAAGGTCCCCAATGATTTGAGATGAAATGACTGTTTACAGGATGACAGTCTTATTTAAGTGATTTGTATTCAATCATCCATTTAAATGACATTGCTAAATTATGCATAAACAAAAGAATTTAGTTCTCAGTGTGAGGGAGAAATATCACTCAACTATAATAAATTGGCAGTGTGACCAATGTGGATCACTGTGGAGCAGCTGTGTTCAGAGTAATGTTCAGTCTAACTTGAGGTAACTAGCAAGTTACATTTGCACCGACAGTTATGTAGTTCGCTCCAGCTTCTGAGGTGCTTTCCACTTTGTCTTTAAGACAGGCTGAAATTCCTGGCTCGTTTTGCTGTGACAGCAAGGAGGTACTGTGTAATTCCCAAAACTAATGTCCATACTTTAATAAAACTCAGATTCTCCAAATTGTTTGTAAGCACATTGTGTGATTACACCCACAATACATACTGTGTTTGCTGTTTGTAGGTGACGAGCTGGCGCAGGTCGTGGGTTGTTCGTGGATAATGCGAGACAGTGGAGGTAGCCTGGCCCAGAACCGCTGGCAGGGAGATCTGGGTCTGACTGCTGTGGGGCAGAACGACACAGGAGGAGGTGAACACTTTACTTGTGGTTAAAACATGTGCATCCTAGTTAAGCTTGTAATATTATGAATTATTGTGTAGGTGGCAATGCAGTGAGTCAGGTCATGAGTGGCAAAGGGTGCCTTCACATTTTTGCTTGTACTTTTCTTTAATTTGCTTCATAAATCTTGGGTAATTTAATCTGAAATCATCAAATTTTGCCTAATTAAAAATAAATAAATAAATTGCTTAGTTTTATTTTGAGAACCATTTTCAAACTCAAGATCTCTGTTCTACTTGGATGAGGTTTTCTAGCAACAATTTTGTTTTTGTGGTATAGTTGGTCATACCTGCTCATTCAGTTACAAAAGTCTAATGAAAATAACCTTTTGTCCTTTTTGTGACCAAGTGTCATATTAAAAAATATTCTGTTATTTTTTTATTATTGTGACATTCAGCTACATATGTTTCTGATAATACCACCAGCTGATTTCTCCATGTTATTATTACTATTATTTTTTGCTAATGAGTGCTCAAAGATGGAACTTTCCATTATAGCTCCATTTTTTTTTCGAATTTTAACTTGCCCATAATCAGTGACTGTGTGATCTTCTTGTCCAATGTTAAAAATATTGTGACTAATAATTTTAGGATTTCATCTTTACTAGTTTCTGAGATATTGTCATCCAAACATAGCCTCAAATTTCAATGTGCAAAAAAATTTGCTTAAAGTGAGTCAATGTTTTTTTTTTTTTTTAAAGGTGTAAGGAATGTAATTTGTTGTACCTATCTAAGGGCTCTTAGCTCTTTGATCTCAAAGCCCAACAGAATTTTCCCTTTGTGTCTTAACTATGAACGTTTGGTAAATAAATTCCAATGGAAATTGGAAAAGTAAAAAACCTAAAGGTATTTGGGTCACTATAGTACATGGATTTATACAGCTGATATATTTAATCACTGCTAATGTTTGTGTTTAGGTGGGATTCCTGGAGACCACCTCATAGTCCCAGTGTCAGGCCACAGTGTTTCCAGCCCCATGCACCTCAGATTTGGACAGAAAGAAAAAGTGTGGACAGGCGAGTATGTAGACGAGGAGGAAGATGGGATGGGTGGGATAGAGGCAATAGGTGATGAGGAAGAAGTAAACAATTTGGATGGGAAAGAAATGTGTGAGTTTGAGGGCAAAGGTTGGGAAAACAATGAGGATGAAGAAGAGGAACAAGAGGTAGAAGAGGATGGAAACCAGGACGAAGAGGAGTGGGAGATTCCAGATTTTCCCTTCCAGTCCACTGAGTACCCTCATTCACAACAACACAAGCATCATGGACCACAACAGAAAGCAGAAAAAGTTGGTGTAGCCACGGTAGAGGATACTGTCTCCCAGGCAGAAGCAGGGGACTTGTTTAGGTCCCACCTCAGTAGGTACAATGCTCTGAGGAGGCTCAGGCGTTTGCAGCGTTTGCGATCCCATGGATTTCGACTCACCCAGCACTGGAAGAGCTGGCGTCAGAGAGCCCGGTGGATAAGCTCACTGGGACACCGACGGAGCCAGAGAGGTCAAAGGCACAATCTGTATGGCAAGCAAAGGAGGATAAAAAGTTATCAGCGGTCATCATACAGTGAAGAAGAGGATGACAGCAATGACAAACAGTTCACAATGTCTGAAAAAGGTATTGATGTACTTATTTACTTCTAAAGCTAGGTCATGTGTATAGGCTATATATGAAATTGGCACAGTTGTTTTTTTTCTTCCTTTTTTTTTAAAGACAAAAACTAAAACATGTTAGTTGATCGCTCATTACTTTTTAACTTCCCTACCCTGTCTTTAATGCTCAACTCTCAATAAAATATTGATCTGCAGTAATATTTAGCAATATCTGTGGGACAGTACAACAAAATTGGCAAAATTACTTATCAGCCCACAATGCATTTTTCCCCCAACTTCTTAACTGAGATTTTATGAAGTTTAGGCTTGCCTGTCAATGTTTCAAATTGCGCTATAAGTGTTAAGTTTCCATTAAGAGACCAGTATGCAGGATTGTACTTTCACCAAATTGCTTTTTTTGATTTAGGTGGGAGAAAAAAAATGTCTATAAAATTGCATAAAAATGTGTAATTTTATTTTATTTTTTTGGGGGGGCCAGATAAGCAGATAAATGGGTCTTCTGTGGACAAGCAAGAGGAGAGAGTAAGACGGGAAGTGGAGGTCAAACCAGTGGAGTTGGCCCTTACTGAGGAACATACAAGTTGTGTGAGTGGTATGCATCTGAGATAGAGGTTACTGACTCATATTTACTGACAGTCAGAAAAATTTAAAACTAAATGTCTAAGATGTTTTTGACAACATTGGCAGTTTTGTTTAGTTTGTCATATATTTGTCATTCATTATGAAATTTCCAAAACATTTCGTTGATATTTGTTTGCCTGTTTCTTGTAACACAAGCCAATCAATTAATTCGTATTTTTTGAGTTTACATAGATCCACATTAGGGGGACACTCAGAAACTTTTCAGAAAGGCCTTTTGTTTTCACTAGATACTTTGACCACACGTTATAATAATACAAATAAGAAATAGAAATGATTAAAATGAAAGAGTTTGTCTTGAATGAACACTTTTGTTTGGTTGTTGAAAATTTTTTATTTATTTTTTTAATGTCTTCTGTCTTGAGGTATTCTTGAAGAGTCTTTACAGCAGTATGGCAGTTTAATTCCTATCCATGTGGATGACATCTTGGAGAAGCTTCAGGACATCTTCAGCGAAAGCTTCTCACAGCCACACAGGTCAGAAATGGTGTTTGGTCCTTGGATAAAATGATAAAAAGTTATTGCTCTTTTTTTTTTTTTGAACTGACCTCCATTTATGGGAACAGTGTGGTATAGACACTCCATTTCCTGATGTTTAATTGGTTGATTAAGAAGAGAAATCCCTTAGATATGAGAGATTGATTAATTAATTAATTAATTAATTAATGCAATATGTACATTTAAACAATATAGATGTCTTCAAACTTTGTCTGGTTATTCAGGTTAATCCAGACTGCATCATCACTGTTTAAGTGGCTGTCATGTATTCTTTTGTTATCCAATGCCCTGTTATACAGTGTGTAGTCTCAAGTTTATTACTGACAATATTTAGGCAAATTATTAAGTCAGTAAGGTACCAGTATTCATGCCTTTGATTTGTTCTTCATTAGGAAAGCAATGGTCCAGCATCTAATACAATCCTTCCAGCGTTCTTCAGGGTCAGCCATGGCTAAAACATTCAGAGTCAACTACAAACGCCATGTTCTGACAATGGATGACCTGGGCACTCTGTATGGACAGAACTGGCTCAACGACCAGGTACAAGAAATTATAGCTCAGTACCGTTAACATTTTGTTGATGCCATTACTCTTACTATTTTTTTTTTTTTTTTGATTGATGTTTTCACTTTGCTGCTCCTCTTAATGGTACTTTTTTTTTTATTTTTTTTTTATTTTTTTAATTTTTTAAGATTAAAAAGAAAAATGTCATTAACTATTTAGGCAGTCTTTAACACACCACTTTATTGGTACTATTGTTGTGATTGGAATGTACAACATATGATAAAATATTTGCTAAACTCCACTGTCACAAAGGGGCCAGGCCTTTCACTAAGAACCTGGTTACCGCTAGGTGGCCCACATTCACCCTCTCATCTATCATCCTCCCACTAGCCCCCAATCTGAAGGGACTTTGGGCTTGACTTTGACTTGAACCCCTGGTAGCAGAGGGAGGAATGGGCTGGTTCATTGTAGCTGCAACTTTAACAAAAATAGTTGCTAAGTCTTTAAATGGGTGCATTCATAAATTCAGGCTGACCTTTTGATCTCTTATGACAGCAATGTGAACAGTGGCTCATAAAATAATGGTTTCACTCACAAAATAAAATATCCCCCGTGTTTCGTTAAAGTGTCCAGCATTCTATAAGAATTTATAGCTCTCATGTGAACAGATGTCAAATAAATGTAGGTGCATTGTGTTTCTAAAATCTCTTTCACCTCTTCACTTCTAAGTAAAACATATAATGCAGGACTTTTTCTTTAACAGTATTTTTACTGTGTAATATTAATAGTTTTAGGTAGGAAGTAAACAGTACCACTAACATCAACATTCAGTTCGAGAAAGGGTGAAAATTAAGTAAGACAGTTCATCTGCGACCCTCAAATAACAAAGTCCTTCTGCTACTCTGTGTGCTCTAGGGACATGTCATTTTGTAGCCCAATAGATTTGAAATTGTAGCGCTAAGTAAGTGGAAAAAGTTGTGTTGTGATTTTTGCACACAAACTGCACATCAAGTGCTCTCTGTAATGTTTTGGGATGAATATCTGTGCTGAAATCTGGAGCAAGTCTTCCCCTAATTAATTCACACAATTCAAAGTGCCACGTGTGTGCCTATATTTTACTGTGACAGTAAATTTTAGAGTTGGGCCATGTTGAAAGTGGTAGGCAAATGTTAATTAGTCCAACATAGTAAGATTGCTGGTCCAACTTCTATGGAAAAGTAACCAGAGTGCACATTCAGACATTAGGCTGACACGTTCCGTTGCTGTCAGTTTAAAGGAACAGCGTGCATGTCAGTACACAAAATATAAAAAAGCAGAAACTGAACAGCAAACCACAGTAATTAAATCTTGTGGACCAGCCATATAGAAACATGTGTGTCCAAGAAAATATGCTGCCCACAAACAGAGACAGACTGGCTAAAAGTCAAGCATCAAATGTCTGCTTGATAACAGCTCTGTTTTAAAAAAAAACAAAAAAAAAACTGTTCTTGGGCCCAAACTCTGAAATGAGCATCAGATAGCAGAGGTTTATGTTCATTTATGACTTTCGCTTCAATCCCATTTTGTGTGCCAAATCCATCTTCATATGATGCACAATTGGTGTGGCCATTAATAGCTATTGGCCCTACTAAGTCTTTCTGTTTCAATTAATACACCGCTATGTTTATTCATAGACAGGGGTGGCTGTGGCTCAGGTGGTAGAGCGGTTGTCCTCTGATCATAAGGTTAGCGGTTCCTTGGGCAAGACACTGAAACCGAAGTTGCTCCCAATGGCAGGCAGCACCTTGCATGGCAGCTCTGTCGTCATTGGTGTATGAATGTGTGTGAATGGATGAATGAAACATTGTAAAGCGGTTTGAGTGCCACTAAGGTAGAAAAGCGTTAAAAAGTGCAGTCCATTTACCATTTATGCAACATAGCCTCTGCAAACTGTTCAAAGTAAAAATCAAGCATATGAGTCACTGGAAACCATAACTTTGTAGGTGCAACAGAGTTGTTAAGTCAGTTTTCATGAATCAGTGTAATCAAATGTTGCAGCCTCACCTTCAAGTACACAGATAAACTAAATCAGTCTAATAAATCAGAATGTCAGTGTCCCAATATACAGTGCTGTAAAAATAAGTATTGGCCCCCCTATATCTTTTATTTTTGCATATTTATCACGCTTAAATGTTTTTAGATCATCAAACTAATTGTAGTATAAGATAAACAGCCAAGAAAACACAAAATGCAGTTTTTGAATGATTAGTTTATCTGTTGAAGGAAAAATGTTGTTCTGCCCACCTTGGCCTATGTGAAAAAATAATTGCCTGCTTTGTTACCAGTCCCTCAAGTTACCAAATTAATTTGGCAATTAGGTTCAGTTTCACCAGACACACCTATGTATGATTGTTGCCAGGCTTGTTAAAACTAGACCTCACATAAATAGAACCTGTCTGGCATTGTGAAGTAGGCTAAAGGTTCTCAAAAAGCAGCACATAATGCCATGTTCTAAAGAGATGAAAGAACAGATGCGAAACAAAGTCACTGACATTTATCAATCTGGAAAGGGTTCCAGAGCCATTGCTAAGGCTCTGGAACTCAAGGGAACCGCAGTGAGAGAGCCATTGTCCACATAACGAGAAAACGTGGATTCATAATAGCAAATGGTTGAAAAGGCGTGTTCATTGGAAAGATGAATGCAAATGCCTTGAAAAATAAGAAATGCCAGGGAAGGTAAAAGTTAAAATTGCAAGACAGCAGTAACATATATGTAAAACTCTTCTTTGTATTGCTGTCAAAATGATTTTTAATTTGGCAGTTTTTAGCCCATGTACAGTTGTCTGCTGAGGGATTAGCATATGATTTTTTAAAAAAAAGGAGTTTGGTTTGAAGTTTGAGACACGAAAAGTAAAATGAGGATCATATCAATTATAATGCCATAAATCAATATTATAAGTGAACATAGCGTGACCACATTGCACATAGTTTTTCAAGCCTCTTGGTAGGTATGTTGTTCCAGGCATCTTGGATATTTTACCACACTTTGTATGTGGGTTGATGTAGTTGTTAATGACTTCTGTATCTTCATGTTATCCCACTGACAACATTATTTTGAGATCTGGGCTTTGTTTGGGCTTATTGTCATGTTGCAGATTGATTTTAAAACCGATCAGACGCCTTCCTTATTGTGTTACATGACTGATAAGAATCTAAACATTTCAACTCAAAATCTTTGCACAGTTCTGTATGTTGTGAAGGAGCATTCCACATAGAGGAATGTGATCCCCATCTTTCATGCCTTATGTTATTAAAATGTCATGGAAATACGCTGCAAAATGATTTCAAGAAAACTATTTATACCCTGTATCACCATGTGTAATCACTGAGCGGAAAAGCTGCTGTGTCTTTTGCAGCTACACACTGTTTCTTTTCACATTACATCCTGGCTTGTTTCTTTGTGCTTTATTCAGGTTATGAACATGTATGGTGATCTGGTCATGGACTCTGTGCCGGAGAAGGTAAGGAGAAAAAAAAAGAAAAACATATTTCCATTTATAGGATAGATTGAGAAATATGTATTTTATTTTCTTTCTTTTCTATTTCTGTATTCTATGTAGTAAAAAAATAAATAAAAATGCACAACAGCATTTTTACCTGTACACATTCACCCAAGTCATATGTATAACCATTGCATTATGTTTCCTGTTTGGATTTTTCTATGCCAAGGGCATTATGTTTCCACCTGTATGATTGGTAAATGTTCTTTACTTTACTAGAGATTTATCTTAGTGGAACTCAGTCAACAATGTTTTCCATTTGCACCCACACTCAAACACCTATGGCAACAGAACACACCTTTTATCATAGTTTGGTTCAAGTGATCTGCAAAGAAACTAGACTTCTGCACTTTGACTTTAGAAAAGCTTGGGATGCAATACTTATGGCAATTAACCAATCTTTTCATCCAAATCCCGCTAGAAAGTGTAAAAAGCAACAAAGTCCATACTGAGAGTAGGGTGTTGTGGCAGAGTGATTTAAGTAGAAGACCTTCACCTGGGAGAGGTGGTCTGAATCCTCTGCAAAGCCAAATGTTAATGCAGCTTTTGGCTTGACAGAGAGGGAAGAGCTCCAAGAGCAAAAACTGTATTTTCAAATTCTGGCAGTTTTTTTTTTTGTTTTTTTTTTGCCTTCTCATTCCACGCTATGCTTTTTCTAAGATGAATGTAATAAAGGGAACTACACCCTATGAAACAGCACAACCAGCCATTATTGTTAGCAAAAAATAATGTAACCGATTTTTGTGCTGAAATATCCAGTTGAGCATGAAAAGCTGCTGTTAGTGAAGTGTAGACAGATTTGGTCATACACAGAGAAGTAATTGCTAACAAAATCACATAAGTAGCAAGGGTTATATCAGAGAAGCTTGCTGGGTCCCAGGTAGAGAGGATGCCACTTTCTGCAGTGTATAATATTAGAAATTCAACAGGTAGCTCTGCAGCATATGCAGGATGCTCTAAAGTCAGAAAGTTATATTACATCATGTGCTGATACCATAACAAAGTATGGACATACAAGTCCAAAAGATATGTAATACACAAATTAATAATAATTTGACATTATTTTATAGTTAGAATTATATCCATGACAAAAGGGTTGTTACACAATTTGTGATTTCAAAAAGAAACCTTAAACCCTACTGCTAATTCACTGACAATGGTGTACATCATGGGATTTTCCCAGGGCCACTGGGTCATCTTAAGTTGGGTAAAAATGTCAGGCACAGCATATTCAGGGCTTGCTTTTCCCTAAATGTCCTATCTTTTGAAGGAACTGTTTATGAAAAGTGTAAAATAAATTAGAATTACTTCAGATGTCATTCAAATTGTTGATAAGATAAGATATGCCTTTATTTATCTCGCAGTGGAGAAATTCACATTGTTGTCAGCAGCTTTACACATAGAGATACACATATACTCGACAGAAAAAATGTACATAGGAATGTAAGTATAAGAAATAGTGATCAGTGCTGTGTAGGATACAAAAATGAATAAGGTCTCAAAATTATGCCGATTGCTTTTTTTGCTTTGGGGACAGAAAAGACAGAACTGATGAAGAATGACTACGCATAAGTATAGAGTTGTTATTGAAAACAAAAAATGTGCTATCTTAGTAAGAAAGCATTTAATTTGTTCCTTTTCCACTGAAAAATCACAGGACACAGAAATAAACTGGAAAAAAACACTGCAAGCACATTGTTGACAAAATATCAGTATATCGAATGGAAAAAGTTTACCTTTTCACCATCTTGGAACAAGCAAACACTTGATCCTCTTTAAAACTGTACCTGCAGACAAAAGCGATGTACTCAGACGAATGACACCTAAATTTACATGGTGTAGTAATTTTCACAATTTAGTGAATGCAAAACACAAAGTACATTCCTGTAATCATCTCGTGTTTAAGCCCTTAAAATTAGAATGAAGGGTTCCAGATTAAGTGCCAATGATTAAAGGCAGTCAACAATTGAACCTGTCTGGTTAAACCTCTAACATCTTTGGTGTCATCATGTCAAAATCTAAAACACAATCTAAGGCCTTAAGCAATGCTGTAATAGCAAAATGTTATGGCTGCCATGACCCCTTCAACGGATTTCAAAAAGGTCCCCAGGTTGTTTAAAATAAATCAGCCCACTGTAAGGTAAATTATCTACAAGTGGTGTGGATTTCAAACAACTGCCAATTTGTCCAGGACTGGCTGCACCAGCAAATTCAGCCCAAGAGCAGACTGTGCAAATAATAAATTTCCAAGAATCCCCAAATTTCATCACAAGATCTGCAGGTAAGTCACAACTGTTGGTATCAAACTGCATGCGTCTACAATCCAAAAGAATGTGGATAAATTCGAACTGCATGGGGCATGTCAGGAAATAGCTATTGCTTTCCAAAAAGAGCACAAGAGAACTTTTTGCCAATGAAGCTCTAGGCTTCAGAGGCCTTTTAAAATTATTTTCTTTTGCTGGCTTTTTGCCTTTATTAGCAGGACAGTGGAGAGAGACAGGGAAGGGGGAGAAGAATGGGGGAAGACCTGCAGCAAATGGCTGTGGGCAGGAGTCGAACCCACGATTGCTGCCCCTGTATATGGGTTGCTGTCTTATCCGGTTGAGCTACTGGGGCGCCCCAGAGCAGGCTGGTACAGACAAATCAGAGATAGTTCTTATTATGTCACAATAATCATAGAGACGTTTGGTTTTGGCAGACCAAAGACAGCTTTTTAAGAGAAGAACCCTAATACCATCTGTGAAGTATGGTGCTGAATGATGTTAGGGTTTTGCTTCACTTTTCCCTGGGACTGAGCAGCTTCCAATCATGGATTTAGCAATGAAATTTTGGATCATATTCAGGAGTGCTTGAAGATAATGTGAGGCCATTTGCCAAAGGGGCCAATACTAGCCTTTGAGGCCAAGTGGGAACCTACTTGTCCACAGAAAAATGTTGCATCTGTTAACATTTCAGTTGAATGAATAAATGATAAAGCAAATTTTCTTTGTGGAGTTTTTTCAAATATGTCCCCTCTATCTGTAAGCACTGCTTCAAACAGGATCAAATGTTTGCTTGTCCAAAAAAAAAAATTAACTTGTCTTTTTCACACAACTGTTTTAGCGTTATGCAGCCTTTCAAACAAAAAATATTGTTGAATTCACACACAATCGATGGTAGCGAGAGAAACAGGAGGATGATGGGAAGAACAGGTTTCTTTCAGGATTTAAACTTGCCAGACTAGTTAAACTTTTGAGTCACAGGATATGCGAATTAGGGCCCTGAGCAAGTCAGCCCAATCGTTCTTACTTTTTTTCTTTGTAATGGTAATGGATGCCAATTTATGAGTTCTACAACTAAATAACTTCAACTCAACCCTCTGTACTTTTGATACCCCAAAAGAGCAAAATATTTCATAATTGGGCATTGATGTGTTTCCAAAGTTTTAGTTCTTGTAACATTTCTACAACAAACTAGAAAGCATTCTTACATTCATTTATGAGCAGTCTTGGGAAGAGTACATTCAGTGACATGGATAAAGATAAGATTATTACAACTGACTACTGAAAACCCAACCTATTCTATGAGGAAGACCCATACTTGTTATTATGCTCTCATGTGAGTTGTACATGTGTAACTGATACAGGTATTTTGACTAAATTTCAAGAAAACAAGTCTCAATACTCCAACGCGTCCAGACACCCCATTGGTAAACAAGGTTGACGGTCTTACTTCCATCACTATTGGACAATTGCAAGTGAAATGTGCAAGTCCATATTGATATATTTTGTCACATGTTGTAAAGTAGTTTCAGAGCCTTTGAACACTATTTCAGTTGTCTACCATAGTTCTTATTTTTTCCAATTCTCTTCTTCAGGTCCACTTTTTCAACAGCTTCTTTTATGATAAGCTGAGGACCAAAGGCTATGAAGGAGTGAAACGGTGGACAAAAAACGTAAGTGGATTTAAGACCCTTGCTACTAAATGAACTCTTTTCAGTTAATTTGTAACACAGGTTTTCTTTAAGTTAAAGATAGCTTGGGACATTTTAAAAAATATATATAAATATTTACCCATCTTTTAATTTTAAAGTAGATCAACAAAAGTAAGCAAATGTCCTATTAGGGCTTGGCATTTAAACAATCTCTATAACTAGTCAAAAATAGTTTCCCAAATAGCAAACATCAACTGATATGTTTACAAATCTGGGTGAATAGCAGAGTAATATTAACTGCGAGATATGCACTGACGAAGACATAAGAGGTGGCTCTTATACCATTTAAAAAGGTGACATTACCAACCCACTGAGTTTTAAAAAGGCAAAACTCAGTAAACTTTGCTCACCATGGAAAATCTAAACTTTAATGTCACCTAGCAATATATATGAACTTGTAGTTTTTAACTATGACAAAGCTTTATTTTATTCATTTGGGATTGTATCCCAAACTAAATACAGAATTACCCTAATTGAACTCTGGATCCTAACTCAAAGACTGTGATCATGGCCAGTCAAAGAGTTTTTTAACTGACTGTGTTCAGGCGACTTTGTTGAGCATGGACCTAAGCCCGATCCTTTGTTTACATCCGCTGTCACATAGGTGTTGTAAAGGGAAAGCGCAGTTAATTGCAGGATGCAGCTAAAATGTTAACTATTTTAAATTGGAGAACGAAAACAGTTCAACAGCCACTAATATCTGTAATGTGAGCATTTTGTGTATTTAATGTTGCCAATTTGATGCTTTCCTTAAAAAGTCAATACCTACCAGAGCACAGCGTGTTCCTTCAGGTAACTCAGGCAAAGGCTGCACCAAAGCAGCACATCCTGGAAGATATTTGAAATGGGGAAATTTCCTCACCAGGGCCAAAAAAAAAAAATTACTGCAAGGGTAATTGAATTCATCACGTTGGATGAGCAGCCCATTGCTGTGGTAGAGAATATACATTTTGGCAACTTGTAGAGCATATGTATGTAAGTGCCATAATTTGCTTCTGTTTGTATACCATTTAAATTAAAATAGTGCTTTTTAAAGGTATCTCAGCCTCAAAACAAAGTTCCTAAACCTTATACCAGATGTGACTGCCACTGGCTTTACCACTTTAAAGTGAAATTGAATTGGTTAGTAGTGTTGCCTCGCAGCAAGAAGGTTGCCGGTTCGCGTCCCAGTGGGGGCACCGGAATCTTTCTGCTTGGAGTTTGCATGTTCTCCCCGTGCAGCGTGGGTTCTCTCCAGGTTCTCCGGCTTCCTCCCACACAGTCCAAAAACATGTTGAGGTTAATTGGTGATTCTAAATTGTCCGTAGGTGTGAATGTGAGTGTGCTTGGTTGTCTGTCTCTAAGTGTGGCCCTGCGATAGACTGGCGGCCTGTCCAGGGTGTCCCCTGCCTTTGCCCTAAGTCAGCTGGGATGGGCTCCAGCCCCCCCGCAACCCTAATGAGGATTAAGCGGTGTATAGCTAATGGATGGATTTTTACTATACTAGCTTTACTACAATGCTGCACACTTGTGTTTTCATTTGTAGTGACTGTGAAAGTTAAAGTTAATATATTACACCATTGTTCTAGTTTTACTACTATTTTATAGCTTGATCAGGACTTTCATCCTTTATCAACTTTTACCTACTAATAAAAACAAAGTATAGAACAACAACAGAATAAACACAAATGATCGTTTAGTGAGCGACATTTAACTATCGGCTGCTGTCTTATCATTGAAATCATCGATTAACAACAAAATATAAAATCTATTTTAATGAATTTTGGCTTTTGCAATTTCTAAACTTCTTAAATTAAAAAAAAAATAAAATAAAAAAGTTTATCACTTATAATAAAGTGATACATTTTTAGTTGTTTATCACTGTGTATCCAATCTTCAGGTAAGTTTATTGGGGCAGTGTCTTCTCTGGCTCATTAGTGGGCAGAGAAACTAAAAAATTCACGGCCTGATGGTACTGGATAGCTGTATAGGCATTCATGATCAAGTATCATACTCAAAAATAAAAAATAAAACTTGGATAAGTGACTGAAAGTTGGCATTTGTCAGAAGGGTTTTTAAACAGTATTTCTCAGTTTTCAGCATCACATGGCATGAAAACCAAATAAGTATTTATTTGGAACCAGTTTTCTAAGATGCTTTTTGAACCCCTGTTGTAGAGGACCCAGAGTGGCCAAAAATATTGATGTTATCCACAAGAGCAGTGTGAGAAATATATGATGTATCTTCCTTCCTAAGACTGAAATCATATCTCTCAATGCACCACTGTCTGGGATAGTTCAGTCTCTTCTAAAAAAAATTTTTTTTTACATTCACAAGAGGAAAGGCTGAGGACTGGGCAGTTGTTTGGAAAATGCCTGGTTAAGTTAGTGGCATTCTTAGAATGTTGACAGATACATTTTTGTTGTATAGATACAGTACCAGTCAAAAGTTTTGACACACCTTGTCATTCAATGGTTTTTATTTATTTTAATTATTTTATACATTGTAGATTAATACTGAAGACATCAAAGAACACATGTGCAATTATGTAGTAAACAAAAAAGTGTAGTACAAACCAGAATATGTTTTATATGTTAGGTCCTTTGAAGTATCCCCCTATTGCTTTGATGACAACTTTGCACACTCTTGGCATTCTTTCAATCAGCTTCATGAGGGAGACTTGGAATGGTTTAAAATTAACAGATGTGCCTTGTCAAGAGTCAATTTGTGGAATTACTTGCCTTCTTAATGTGTTTGAGAACATCAGTTGTGTTGTGTAGAGGTAGTGTTTGTACATAGTGGATAGCCCTATTTGACTACTGCTGTTATCCATAGTATGGCAAGAACCACTCAACTCAGGAAAGAGAAACGACAGTCGATCATTACTTGACCGACCTGAAGATCAGTTAATCAAGAAATTTTCAAGAACTAGATATATCCTCAAGTGCCGTCGCACAAACCATCAAACACTACGATGACACTGGCTCTCATTAGGACTGGGAATACCAAGAGTTACCTGGGCTGCAGAGGATAAGTTCATGAGAGTTACCAGCCTCAGAAACTGCAAATTAACAGTACCTCAGATTAGAGCCTACATAAATTCCTCGGAGTTCAAGTAGCAGACAAATCTCAACATGAACTGTTAAGACGAGACTGTGTGAATCAGGCCTTCATGGTTGAATTGTTGCAAAGAAGCCACTACTGAGGATGAACAACAAGAAGAAGAGATTGTTTGGGCCAAGAAAAGCAGGGAATGGACATTAGACCTGTAGAAATCTGTACTTTGGTCTGATGAGTCCAAATTTGAGATTTTTGGTTCCAACTGCCGTGTCATGGTGAGACACAGAGAAGGTGAACCAATGGTTTCTGCATGTGTGACGCACAGAGGAGGAGGTGTGATGGTGTAGCGATGCTTTGCTGGTGACACTGTTGGTGATTTATTCAAAATTCAAGGCACACTTAACCAGCATGGCTACCACAGCATTGTGCAGCGCCATGCCTTTCCATTTCGCTTGTGCTTCCTAGGACCATCATTTGTTTTTCAGCAAGACTAGACCCCAAACACACCTTCAGGCTATGTAACGGCTATTTGACTGAGAAGGAAAGTGATGGAGTGCTGTCTCAGATGTCCTGGCTTCCACAATCACCTGACCTATACCCAGTTGAGATGGTTTGGGATGAGTTGGACAGCAGAGTGAAGGAAAAGCAGCCAACAAGTGCTCCAGCACTCCAAGACTGTTGGAAAACCATTCCAGGAGACTTCCTCATAAAGCTGATTGAGAGAATACAAAGAGTGTGCAAAGCTGTTATCAAAGCAAAGGGGGATACTTTGAAGAAATTAAAAGATAAAACATATTCCGATTTGTTTAACATGTTTTTGTTTACAACATAATTCCATATGTGTTCTTTCATAGTTTTGATGTCTTCAGTATTAATCTGGAATTTTGAAAACAGTTAAAATTAAAGCTGCAAGCAGCGTTTGTCGGGTCCTCGGTCCGCGTTGCAACTTGCCCGTCTGACCATGCTTCAAGTTAAACCTGCTTTAAGTTGAAGGAGCCATTTTTCTCTCTCTTCTCACCCTCAGACTGTCAGTGAGTCACATGAGCAGCTGCACTGACCTGCCAATCAGGATCAAAGCTGCAGGTGATGATGTCATTGTTCTTCATGCCCCTGGCTGAGAGAGCTGAGAGTTTTACTCACTTTCACTCTCCCATACAGCCACAATTTTCTCCAAATATGTGCAAAAACAACATATTTTTGTTGTAAATCTTGTTAGGAAGCCCTCAGTGTCATTTTTAAAGCTGTAGGACCTCTAGTTTTTTGTGTAGATGAGCAAATGTCACAGCATGTCTGCACATGTCCCATAGACAGCCATACAAAGTATGAGCTGAGGCTGGGACAGCTCATCAACTTTAACGGCTTGCCATTCGAAAACCGTTTGAGAAACACCAAATCCCTTCAGAACTTTTGTGCATCAAAGCCTTCTCTGTCTCCTGTGCGATTTTCAAGTTGATACGATTTACGGTGTCAGACAAGATAATTTTTTCCCAAAAGATGGTTTCACTCATTTTTTTTTTACTTTGAAAGGCAAATTGCGGACTTCCTGTTTGAGATAGGTCAGGGGTTTCAGTGCGAGATTTGTGGGTCTCATTGAGACGAACATTTTGGTGTTGGTTTGAGCTCTGTAAGACATTCCTACTGGGTGCTGGGGCTGTTTTAATGTGTTTTTCTGTAACTAGGTGGCGCTAGAGAGCTTTTCTTGTTTTTTTTTTTCATTTTATCAAATTTTTCGCCGATTCGGAGATGCGTGCCAATTTTGGTGAGCTTTTGAGTGTGTTTAGGGGGTCAAATTAAGGGTTTCGCGTTCATCAGGCAAATAATAAGAAGAAAGAAAGAAAGAGAGAAACGCAGCAGGAACAATAGCGGGCAAGGACCCCTGCTTGCTTTGCAAGTAAAAACAACGCTAACAAATAAAACAACGCTGAATGAGAAAGTGTGTTCAAACCTTTGACTGGAACTTTATAAGCTAACTTAGAATATGTGCTATTGTTATCCTTCACTACTAATTACAAAAAAATAACACATCAGTCAACCCCTACTTCAGACATCCTACCGTGACTTCATTTCTTGGGCAAAAAATCCATACATTTTCTCCAACATGTTTAGATTGTGGGCTGCAAGGTGGCTCGGTTAGCACAGTCACCTCGCAGCTAGAAGATCCCTGGTTCATGTCCTGGTTAGGATTCCCAGGATCTTTCTGCATGGAGTTTGCATGTTCTCCCTGTGCAGCATGGATTCTCTCCGTGTTCTCCGGCTTCCTTCCACAGTCTAAAATCATGTTGAGGTTAATTGGTGATTCTAAATTGTCCGTAGGTGTGAATGTGAGTGTGCTTGGTTGTCTGTCTCTAAGTGTGGCCCTGCGATAGACTGGCGGCCTGTCCAGGATGTTCCCTGCCTTTGCCCTGAGTCGGCTGGGATAGGCTCCAGCCCCCCCCCACGACCCTAGTGAGGATTAAGCAGTGTATAGAGGATGGATGGATGGATGGATGTTTAGGTTGCTGTGAAAGCATGCAAAGCAGGGCAGCAAGTGTACTTCACCTCAGCCATGTCTTTTATTCCTATCATCAGGATTCTTGAGGCTCACCAAGGTTAGGAAATATTGATCAGAGTCTGCTTAGGCTATATTTAAAGTTTAGTATAGTGAATCCAGAGCCATGTCACTTGATATAAAATTGTATTAATAAGGCAGTACACCTTAGCACATGATTCTCTATTCTTGTTGTGTAACTCTTAATTTCTTCAAAAAGAGGGTCATGAAGGGGCATTGACACTTTAAAAGTCCCCCCTCCCCCCCCTTTTTTTTTTTTTTAAATAGTTGCTTTGTGCTTTTCACTATTGTATGATGGTCAATTTCATTTGTGTTTTTGGACAAGAGATTCATGTCAAAGTGAAAACTGATTTTAAAAAATTATGTCAATAACTGAAAATCTAAAATGCGAAATAAGTGATTACATAAGTATTCACCCCCTTAAAGTGACTCACCTTTTTTAACACAGCTGCAGCCAGCTGGTGCTAGAAGTCACACAATTAGAGAAATGGACATCATTAGTGCAGTGAATGTGTCTCGGGTGATTTTAGTAGACACACCTGTGTCTGGAAGGTCTAGTCATTGATAAATTAACATTGCTTTCTATAACTACTCAACAAACACAAAATAACTGTGAAAAGGTTATTGAAATGCATAAGTCAGGGGATGGATACAAGTACATTTTCAAGTCACTGAATATATATATATATATATATATATATTCCTTGGTACAATTTTAAATCAATCATCAAGATGAGAATGGAATATGGCAAATGTGATCCTGCTTAGAGCAGGCTGGCCTTAAAAAACGGAATTTTACGTTACGTTACCATGCAAGAAAGACACTAGTAAGGGAGGACACAAGACACCTCTGTATCCTGAAAACTTACAAGTTCAGGGGCTGACATATATGAGACTGTAGACAACAACTGTTGCACAGGTTCTTTACCAGTCAAAACTTTATGGGGGAGTGGCAACAAGAAAGCCATGTTGAAAATAAATGTTTTTAACCTTGACTAGATTTTGCCAGCTGTGTGGGACACTATGGCGTCAACTGGAAGAGGCTTCATTAGTCTGAAAGAAAAAACATTTCAAAAGCTTTTTGGTCATTAAACTAGACACTGTGTTTGACAGACTCCAAACACTGCACATCACAAACACACCATTTCCACTGTTAAGCATGGTGGTGGCAGCATGTGAGGATATTTCTCTGCAGTGGTAAAGTCTACGTTGGTTGTCCAGCATGACAATGACTCAGAAGCATACGGCCAAAGCTACACAGAAATGGTTTAAAGACAGCAAATTTAATGTTCTGGAGTGGCCAAGTCTGCCTAAACCTAAATCCAATTGAAAATTTGTGGCTGGACTTTAGAAGGGCTGTTTTCACATGTTCCCCATGTAACCTAACAGAACCTGAACAGTTTTGCAATTAAAATAGGGTAAATTACAATGTCAAGATGTGCAAGGTGGATTAAGGCCATTCCACACGGGCTCAATGCTGTAATTCCTTCTAAATGCACATAAATCAAAAAGCTGGAGCATTTTTTATTATTTATTTTTATTTATTACTTCAGAAGGGTGAGTCCTATCCATTAGCCTGGTACCAGGATTATGCTGTATTCACACACTTTTTAGATTCTTGGAGCCACTATCTTGAGGTAATGTTAAGTGGATTGAGTATGGAGCTGATAATTGCTTAATAATGAAATGTTGTTTTTTATTAAACAAACATCATTTTCGTAATGCATAATGAATGTCACATTAAAATAACTTCTATTATCTCTACTTGACTACTTTGTCTGCACCTCTCTTTGTGCCCTATTTTTTTTTTAGGTTGACATCTTTCAGAAGGATCTGTTGTTGATCCCCATCCACCTAGAGGTCCACTGGTCACTAGTCAGTGTTGACATTCCTCGTCGTGCTATCACTTACTTTGATTCTCAGCGGACCCTCAACAGGCGCTGTCCAAAGGTAGGGCTGAACAACAACACTAAGCTCTTGCTTCTCTTTTTGGAAGCAAAAAAAACCCCAACATTTTTTTCTATTAACTTTTTGTTTTCTATATCTATATAGATATCTTTTTTAAAATCTTCTGATTACAACTCAAGTTACATTTCTTTTAAGTTACAAAAGTGCAAACAGATCAAATTCAGATCTACACAATATAAGCGATGGCGTGTGGGACTTAAACAGCTGCATTTACGGTAGCAAATTTTTGTCTTGAATAGGGCCCGACCAATTCATTGGCTGGCCGATTAAATCGGCCGATTATAGCCCTTTTCAAAAACTCATCAGCCGAAGTTTTGCCAATTAATCGCAGATATATTCTTAATTTCTCATAAGACAGTAAATGCTGTTGAGCATTTTGTACAATTTGATTTTGTAGAAAGATAGATATTCTCCAAGGCTAAAGCGTGTAAAACACTTCAGCAACTCCACAAAAAGCTCAGTTCTATTTTATCCCTGCTGACCGCCAGAGGCGGTGCTTTAAGCACTGAATATTCCCCTTTGTGCATGCGCAGTTCGAGTATGAATACCAACAATGTCACCTGTGACACTTGGATGACCCCGGGGGAGACTATAGCTTCCGGTGTCATCAGAGTATCTGTTCCTTTTCATCTTCTCACGCACAGATCGCTATCACTCTGATAGCGTTATCCAAAGCCGCATTTCTAAAAGCTCAACTACGTCCCGTTGCTTTGTAGCTCCGTGACCGTGTTGGTTGGGGCGGCAGCCTGCGGGCAATGTATCTACCGGGGGAGCAAAACCACATGGCAGACTTCCTCTCCCGTCACAAGCCTCCGCCAGGAGAGTGGCGCCTCCACCCAGAGGTTGTGCGCACCATCTGGAGCCTCTTTGGCAGAGCAGAGGTGGACCTCTTTGCATCAGAGGTGTCAACCCACTGCCCCCTTTGGCTTTCCTTGGCGGAGACGACCAGCCCTCTAGGCCAGGATGCACTGGCTCACCCCTGGCCGGAGGGTCTCTTATACGCCTTTCCACCGCTGCCACTGATTCCTTCAACGCTTCAGAGAGTTCTTCACGAGGGTCACAGGATTCTGCTGGTGGCCCCCTTCTGGCCAGCGAGGACATGGTTTCCTCTCCTGCACAGACTCTGTTGCGGCGTGCCATGGCAACTCCCCGACAGAGAAGACCTACTGTCACAACTAGGAGGTCTGATTTGGCATCCCAATCCTCGACACCTCCAACTGTGTGTTTGGCTGTTGGAGGGCCCGAACCGCTGCTGAGCTGTGTGGACCCTGTTAGGTATACCATCTTCATCACAGCTTCATCCACTCGGCTGCAGTATGACAACAGGTGGAAATTATTTTCTGAATGGTGTGAGGGCCAGAGTGAAAATCCAGTACATTGCTCTGTGCCTACTATTCTGGATTTCCTGCAGTTTCTTCTGGACAAAGGTCGGTCTCAGTCCACCCTGAAAGTGTACGTGGCAGCGATATCATTTAGACATGCTAGAGTCGATAATGGCACAGTAGGGAGCCACAGTCTGGTGTCCCTCTTCCTCTGGGGAGCTCAGAGGTTGCATCCCCCGAGAGCTCCAAGAGCTCCATCATGGGACCTGCCTCTGGTGCTGGAGGCTCTAGGCAGGCCTCCCTTTGAGCCGTTGACAGAAGCAGAGCTGAAGTGGGTGTCATACAAGACTGCATTCCTCCTGGCTATTACCTCGACAAAACGCATCAGTGAGCTGCACGCCCTTTCTGTCAGCGACTCATGTCTGAGGTGGAATTCAGATGGTTCAGGTGTCACTCTATGGGCGAATACAGCGTTCCTCCTTAAGGTGTTGTCACACTCGCACCTTAACCAGCCTATACGGCTTGCACAGTTTAACCCCCCACCAGGAGAGGGGGGGGACAAGCCGGAACTGTTGTGCCCTGTGCAGGCCCTAAGAGATTATATCACAGCCTCAGCATGCATTCGGTAGACAGAACAGCTCTTCCTCTGTTTTAGTGGTCCTAAGAAAGGTTGTGCTCTCCCCAAACAGCGACTGTCCCACTGGATTGTGGATGTCATTCGCCATGCATATGGGGCAAGTAACCGTTCTTTGCCATCAGGCATGAAATGCCACTCCACCAGGAGTGTCTCTACGTCATGGGCTGCCCTGAGTGGAGTGCCCTTAGAAGATATTTGTACTGCAGCTTCATGGGCCTCATCAGGAACATTCTCAAGGTTTTACAGGGTGAATGTTGCTATCCCCCATCCACTGGGTGTGGTTCTGTTGCCAGAGTCCTCTGATTCTACTCATTAAGGTTTGTAATCAGGATTCCTCGTGACTTTGCTGGTATAAGTCATTCAGTGCTTAAAGCACCGCCTCTGGTGGTCAGCAGGGATGAAATAAAACGAAAGTTACAAATTTAACTACGGTTCTATGAATCTCAAATGACCGGCAGAGCACTCTGTCACTCAGAATCCCCGTGTTCTCGCGAGAAGATTCTGTAGGAACAGATATTCTGATGACACCGGAAGATTATAGTCTCCTCCGGGGTCATCCAGGTGTCACAGGTGACAATGTTGGTATTCATACTCGAACTGCGCATGCGTGAAGGGAAATATTCAGTGCTTAAAGTATCGCCTCTGGCGGTCATTCGGGATTCATCGAACTGTAGTTACATTCGTAACTTTCGTTTTTGCTGCTGCTTGTTGTAAACAAGTCAAACTTGGCTCATGGAGATGACAAAGAGTTATAATACCTTACGACCGTACAGCGGTAAGATCACTCACTCTGCCGCAAATTCCGAAACCAAAACAGCGCATAGAGGTTTTCAGAAAACTACAGAAAACAACTTTTTAAACTTTTTATCCAACTTTTTAACTCACTTATTTAACCTACATTTTTATTAACTTACTACCATCAACTTTAAAGACAGCACAGTCTTTGAGAGTACAGAACATCAGAGGGCTGCATAAATAATGTTCTGCCAGTAACTTCACTCGTTATGTTGCTTATATACAGCATAGACCTTTGGCCTAAATCTAAAGATAAATTCATCAGTACAACTTGTAGCTATATTCATGCATGCTCCATAGAATGAAAATTGCTCAATGCAAATTTAAATCAAAATACCTCACATTACAGACATATTTGTTTGGAAAACTTTTTTTTTTTACCGATATATATATTATGTTTAATGCTTTGTTGCATGTTTTTATACTTGAAAATTCCTTTCTGTTGTAAAGTTAAACAAATACTAAAGGACAAAGTATTGTAAAACAGTAAAATGTTCTGCCTGTGATTCATATCTTTGTTGTTGTAAGCGTTAAGGGACCAAAAAAGAAGCTATTTTATACATTATATATTTTAAAAATTAATCGGCTGATTAATTGGTTATGATTTTGTTTTTTTTGCCAAATATCAGAATCTGCATCAGCCTCAAAAAAGCCACATCAGTCAGGCCCTAGTCTTGGACCATGGCGTTTTTCAGTCCAGCTACACAGCTACAGGATAAGGAAGTTAAACATCAGTGTTGCTTCATATAGTGAGGGAGATTTTCAATGCAAGTACTCAGCAATGAATATTGTAATGATTATGGCAAATATATATATATAAACTTTTAGTTGTTTTGCCAAGTGATTGCAATTAAGAAAAACCAGTTTAGAGAAATTACAGTCCACATGCAGTGTGGTCAGGAAGATAAAGTGTTGAATAGTAAACTGTGTTACAAATGGTGTAACAGCAACTGGTATTTCACAAAAACAAAAGTTACTAGCAGCAACTATGTATTACAAACTGCTTATAACAGCTAAGAGAAAACTCATGGTACAACAGCAAAGCTTTCTGGTGCGTAAATGCAAAACAAAAATTTCAGAGGAGGAATCAGATGATTTTTTTATTTTTTTTTTTAATTTTAAATTTTTTTAAGATCTGAAAAGTTTGTCATTATTTGAGTAGCAGCTTTTAGAAATTTAAAGGAAAATAATGATTGCTGATAATAGATGTGTTTAATGTGCCCAATACCCATACAGTAACCCAGCGGTTCCCAAAGTGGTGGGTGCACCCCCTGGGGGGGTGCAGAGCAATTGCAGGGGGGCGCAGGCGCGGGCGGAATGAATGAATCAAAAATTGACATAGCTAGCATAACATGGACAAGTTTTTGACGGGGGTCGGTAAACGTACGTTAGAGGATGAAGCACTGCCCAAGACCACGCAACTATCTTCCACAACAAAGAAGGAGAAGATATGATGACACATATTTAGCCTTCGGCTTCACCTGTACAACGGTGGGTAATGAGGAGAGACCGCAGTGTGTGGTCTGTCTTAAAGTGCTAGCTTGGGACAGCTTGAAGCCGAACAAGCTAAGACGCCACTTGGAGACCAAACATCTAGAGCACAAAGACAAGCCAGTTGAGTTTTTCAGAAAAAAACTCGTAAACTGCCATGCTCAGCAGGCTGCCTTTACCAAAGCTGCATCCGTGCCGGCAAACGCTCAACTCGCCTCATATAAAGTTGCCTACCATGTGGCGCAGTGTAAAAAGCCGCACACAATAGCAGAGGAATTAATACTTCCCTGCGCTATGGACATGGTCTCGGCGATGCTTGATGACTCTGCAGCCAGAAAAGTAAGTGTTATTCCTCTGTCCAACACCACCATCGGCAGGCACATTTATGACATGTCAAAGGACATAGAGGGGCAGCTTAATGATAAGGTGCGTGGCAGCCGCTTTTCTCTGCAGATGGATGAAGCTACCGACAGTAACAAAGACTGTTTATTGATAACTTATGTCAGATTCATAGACGGAGATGACATGAGGGAGGAATTGCTTTTCTGCAAACAAATTACCGGCAGAGCCACAGCAGAAGAACTGTTTAGAATAACTGACTCTTACTTGAAAGAGGCCGGTCTGAGATGGGAGGACTGTGTGGGGATCTGCACAGATGGGGCACAGGCTATGGCTGGGAAACGGGGAGGGCTGCAAGCGCGTCTCCCCCGATGTGCAGTGGACGCACTGCATGATACACCGTGAAGTGCTGGCATCGAAACAGTTGAGTCCCAAGCTGAACGATGTCATGACCAACGTCATTGCCACAGTCAACTATATAAAAACACGCCCTGTGAAAGCCCGCATTTTTTCGGCACTGTGCAAGGAAATGGGCTCCAACTTCACAGCTGTTCTGTTTCACAGCGAGTCCCGATGGCTGTCATGGGGGAAGGTGCTGTCCAGGGTCTTTGAGCTGCGAGATGAAATCCGCATCTTTTTGAAGGAGGAGGGCAGTTTCATGAGGAACTTGTTACAGCTAAAACTGTGGGCAAGATCGGCCACAGTTTTAGCTGTAACAAGTTCCTCATGAAACTTGCATACCTCAGTGACATGTTTCAGAAACTCAATGAAGTGAATTTGCAGTTACAGTGCACAAATACACACCTCCCACATCTGGAAGATAAAATTGCATCATTCATCAGAAAACTGGAGATGTGGCTGAAGCGAATGCAAGATGGAAATGTGGAAAATGTTCTTGTATACCTAAGGGGGGGCCCAGCAGAGAAAGTTTGGGAACCACTGCAGCACCCGATGATAACATTTTACAAATTGGAGATGGAAATAAAGTGTTTTTTTTTTTTTTTTTTTTTCTTTTTTTATTATTATTTCCTTTTTTTATTCATCACACTCATTTACTGAAGAGACTAGGCTGTGTGTTTCTGTAGGAAAGAAAAACTGTCAATACTGCTGCATCTGGCAGCAACATACTCATTGAAAAATTAACTTTCACAGTAAATTACTCCAACCATTTGTCCTGATCTGAATTGTCTAGCAAAATAGCATATTTACAATTTAAGATTAAAATTGTGTACTCGGTTAATCCAAGAGTATGAAAGATGAAAGTATGAGTATGAGCCTCTTCAGTTGCTTTTTACTAAAATTCCTAGGATTACCATGATCTGAATGAATAAAAAGCTATACAGATGTGTTCACTGTATTTTTTCACCTTCTCCCACTCATGAATATACTTGCATTTTTCTAAACTTCAGTCAATATTCTACTGGGTACAGGTATACCATGCATGTTTTTATATTTGCAGTCCAGTGAAGATGTTTTACAAAGTAAAAATTATATGATGATACTTCATGTGTTTATTGAAAATGTTGAATCTATGTTTGATTGAGTCTTTTGTTGTTGATTTCAGCATATTTTTAAGTATTTGCAAGCCGAGGCCATCAAAAAAGACCAACAAGACTTTTTGACGGGATGGAAAGGCTTTTTCAAAATGGTAAAATGCTTTGCCTATTTTTTTTTCCCACCTTGACTGGCTGACACAGATAGAGAATACTCACTTCACAAAGCCTTCTAAAGAATTAATTTAAAATTAATGTTCCCTATGGGAAAAATTGGCTGTTGCTGGTGCAACTCATACACACATTACCATACAGTTGTGCTGTGTATTGCTAATGTATGTATTGCAAATGTAATGTTGCAGAATGTGGGTCGTCAGAACAATGACAGTGACTGTGGAGCTTTTGTGCTACAGGTGAGTTCCTTATGTTGTTGCCCATGTCCACATTTGTGCAAATCAGTGTGTTTTTAAATCCTTAAATTTACATTCTGTTCTGTGTTAGGGACACAGTTGTACTAATATGAGTCTTGTTTTTGGCCTCTATGGAAGATAATTTTTCAACCCCTAACCACACACACACACACACACACACAGACACAGACACACACACACACTTGTCCATACATTACAGGAGCCATAAAAAGACTACTGAAATTTACTTTACAGCCACTCAGTATTTGCCCATTTGCACAAGTAGGCTAGAACTGCCTTATTTTTTTTTTTATTGTGTTTTGTGTTCATGTTATATTGGTTTATCTACTCAATGATTGGTAGTAGTAATTTTGTCACACAGCATGTTTAGCATCAATGAAGCTGATCGCTTAGCACCATAGGAAAACACACCAACAGACTAAACTCAGTGAAGTTACAATACAGTGTCGATGCATCACTGCAAATCTGTTGTTAGAAATATATTGTTTCTGCTGGTCAGTAACTTGTTTTTCTTTATGTCCTCATTTACCCTACACCATTCTGCAGTACTGCAAGTGTCTGGCGCTAGGGCAACCATTCAGCTTTGGCCAGCAGGATATGCCCCGACTCAGGCGGCAAATGTACAAAGAACTGTGTCACTGCAAGCTTACCCTGTGACCGACTGTTCCTGCCCCACCCCACCATTTCCACCTGCTCCCTCCCTTAACCCTAACAAGACAGAGGGACAGTGATACAACAGGAAGCAGACAAGGGAAGCAAATAATTGGCTTCTAAAGGAGACACTTCAAAAAAAAATCTCTGCCCACATCCAGAGAAATTACTTAAACAGTATGTGATGTCATTGTTTCACTTTGTGTTGTTTGTCTTTGCTTCCCTCTCTTCACCCTTTGAAAATTCTGATTTAATTTCTAAGTCATGGTTATTCCTTTGTGGTTGACAGAGGCCAAGACTAGCTTTCTTTTTTGGGAATGTGCTAATTATCCATCCTATCATTGTCCACTTATTTTTCAGTCTGAATGGGAGCATGAGAAATATCACAAAGATATGGAAATAATTCAGGCCAGATAACTGGTTGGGCCACAGTTTAAAACCAGACTTCTACTTTCATGTAACATGCCTGAACATTTAGTGCAGAGGGTAGCATAGGGTGATGGCATGAGTTTTCCATCCATCCAGTACATGTCAACATCAACAACAAATATTGACACTCAAAATAAAATACTCCATACGACAAGTTGTTATAGGGAGATGTCATTTAGTCAGCACGTTTGCCAGTGTCGTACCATGTGGCATTTCAGAAATGTTTTTTGGCAATTTCCTACAGTATGTTTAACTGGATTTAAACTCAACTTGGAATGCATAGTTACTACTGCCAGGAAACAGGATTTTCTTGTGTATTTTTAAAAGGGAAAATCAAATTTCCACATCCATGTGGCACAACACACATTGGCCCACATGGCCAGTCACTTCTCTGCCTCTATCGCACGTTTCAGTAATACAAATTCAACAACTTCACGCAGGAGAATGGATCTGATGCCGCCCAAGCAAGCAGAATGACATATTGGCCCGAAAAAGGGGTGTCTTTACATTGCATCTATCTTTTTAATGTGTTTTATTGCTGTCAGTAAATGTGGTGATATGCTTATTGCTTTAAACAATTGGTGTTAAAGGAGGACTACGAATTTATGTTAATTTTTGGAGTAGGTACAAAAGAGATCTTCTGGTTAGTATGTCTTTGAAAAAGCCATTTTGGTGAGGACCACAGCCGCTACACAACAGGCACACTATGCCCACGATGGAGTTGATAATCTCTTCTTTTTATAATAAAAGACAAATTTGTGGATAGCTGTGTTTTTGTTTGTGCTTTTTTTTTTTTTCTTTTCAGGAGTTGATGCAACAGAATTGACAGTTTTATATATCTTCTACAATGCATTATGGTTGCAAAAAATAAAAATATGTGGCAAACAAATGACTGTATTCTTTTAATGGTGTGCTTTGGCATCAGCTGGGTGGGTTGTCACGAGTTGCAACACTATCCCTAAGTTCAGTGGTGTCATTCTTTACATACAGAATGGAATGAAATTCCATTTTATGCAAATAATAGTAATGCTAATTTTTTTCTCCCTATGTTAATTTTGACAAGGACAGTGTCAAGTTATTTAGGAAATTATGACAATAAATGTAATACATTTTAAATACATAATTGGCCTTAAAAATATATATATATGCATTATTACTAAACTACCCAATACAATTGCAAAAAAATTGCCTCTTGGGCACACACTAATATAGATGTGGCCTACATCAGTAAAATGCTACACTGCAGATTAGCACACTGGCAATCTAAATTTTATTTTTTTTTTTTCATTGCCACGTTTCCAAACATCTACATACAATCCACACAAAATAAAAGAGAAACCCAATGCCCCAACCCAACCCAAAAACACGCACATACACACCTACATATACACACACACACACACCATGGAGGAGAGTGATGCAATCAAAAAAAAATTGTAAACTACAATACCAAAAAAAACAAGAGAAAAAAAAAAATCAAGTTCAGCTTAACAAAGACAAACAAGTATCTGGTAGCATATAACGTTCATAAACGAAACAAAACAGAACAAGAAAAAAGAAACACATAAATAACATATAAATACATGACAGTCCATCAAAACTTACAGTCAGACAAAATCCAGGTGTTTCAACAAAGGATCCCAGGATGCTTCCCATTTTTGTTGGTCTTTTGCATTATTAAACCGCAGTTTCTCCAGATGGATAACTGAAATGAGTTCATGTAACCAGTCTTTGAGGCATGGTGGGGTTAATTTCTTCCAATCCTTAAGAATTAGTTTTTTGGCTAGAACCATGCCCATCAACAACACTGGTTGGATATGTGAGGGAAGAGTTTCAGAGCCCTCTGAACAGCCAAAAAGAGCAAGGTCCCTATCAGGGGAGAAAGTCCTGTGGTAAATCCGAGAATAAAAAGAAAAAATACTTGAACAGAACGACTTAACACATGGACAGTTCCAAAATAAATGCAGCAGTGTACCATCACTTAATTTACATCTATCACACAATGGGGACACAGTAGAATAGAATTTATGTAGCATAACCTTAGAATAATGAAAACGATGTATAACCTTGAACTGAATTAGCCTGTGTCTGCTGTTTACTGAGCATGTATGAATGCGAGAAATTTTATCAGGCAACTTAGCATTAATTTCCTTTTCCCAAGCCCTCTTCATTGAGTTAGAGGAGACAGAGCCATTACATTTTTTTTTAACACATCCAGTGATTAATTTCTTGCTCTTTGGTGAGAGTAAGTCTAAGAATGCATGACTCTCACCAGACGTCTCAAAATTAGGTATGCTTTCTCGTACAAAGTGCCGAAGTTGCATATATCGGAAAAAAGTTAGAATAAGGTAAGTTATACTTTGAGCTTAACTGACCAAAAGATGCAAAGTTGTTATTGAAATAGCAATCTTTTATGCATTTAAGCCCTTTTGTATACCATGTAAAAAATGTATTATCCAGCAGAGCTGGAGTGAAAGCATGACTGTAGCAGAGTGGTGTATATATCGAAATACCAGGAACTTTATAAGTATGTTTAATTTGAGTAAGAATCTTCAGTGAGTTTCTAACAACAGGACTATGACTTACTAAGTTAATTGCAGTTGTAGGGTTTGTAAATAATAAAGAGGACAGGGAAGCATATGGTTTCTTTAAGGACATAAGCTCTAATTTTAACCACAAGGGGGCAGAAATCAATAATCATCATCTGGACAACCCCATTGCCGATATGACATTGCTCTGACATTAGCAGCCCAATAATAATTTTTAAATATTGGAAGACCTAAACCACCTTCCGAAGTGGGCTTGAATAAATGCTTTTTTGATAGTCTGTGTTTTTTATAGCCCCAAATAAATTCTAAAATAATTGACTCGAGCTTCTTAAAAAAATCAGCAGAAATACATATTGGCAGATTTTGAAAAATATACAAAAACTTGGGTAGGGACACCATCTTAATGGCATTTACTTTGCCAATCATAGAACGCGGCAAAGTTCTCCAATATTCTATATTGCGTTTCAATTTATCAGTACATTCCAACAGATTTAATCTGAACAGTAATTTGGGATTCTTTGAGACTTTAAGACCTAAATATGTAATGTAATCTTGAACGACTTTGACGGGACAATTTTGTAAAACAGAATTCTGTCCAATAAACATAAGCTCACTTTTAGTCCAATTTATCGTATAGCCAGAAATTTTGCTAAACGATTCAATATATTTTAAAAGGTGAGGAATACCTGTTTCAGGGTTCATTATAGTAACAAGTAGGTCATCCGCATACAACATAACAAGACATTCTGATGAACCCACCGGAATCCCATTAATACATGGATGACTCCTTATCCCTATCGTCAGAGTACAATACATTCAATAAACGACGCACATTAAAAAAAAGGAAAGCCTGCCTGGAATAAAACCAGCTTGGTCTGGATAAATGATTGTTGCTATATGTTTATTTAATCTAGTGGCCAATACTTTTGTCAAAATTTTATGATCAAAGTTGAGTAAAGAAATTGGCCTATAGTTAGCGGGATCAGTGGAATCTTTCCCTTTTTTTTATAGCAGACATACATTAGCCTCATACAGAGAGGGTGGAAGAGTTTTGCTGGCCATCGACTCATTGAACATTCTGAGAAGCAGAGGTGTTAAAATCTCATAGAATGTCAAATAAAATTCAGCTCCAAAGCCACCTGGTCCTGGACATTTACCTGTTGGAAAAGCCTTGATTGCCTCAACTAATTCCGCCACTGAAAGCATTCTTTCCAAAGAGCACTGATTGCTGTCATTTTACTGTGGCAAAGATAGCGAACTGAAAAATTGTGCATAATCTGTCTTAGTTGCTGTAGAGGTAGATGCGTACAGACTTGAATAAAAGTCTTTAAATACATTGTTAATTACCTGTTGATCTGTAAGGATCTGTCCAGCTTTGGACTGTATTTTATAAATAGCGGTCTTAGCTTGACCCCTTTAAGTTGTCTTGAAAGTAACTTTTGGGGTGTATCAGTTCAAAATGTTTTTGTCTGGTCTTTAGTAAAAGACTAACAATTTCCCTACCAAGCTTCAAGATCTTGTTGAAGTCAGACTGCTGTAAAGAGGTCTTATGTGTTTGTTCTAGATTAATAATTTCTTGTTCAATTCTTTTAGATTCTGCTTTTTTCTTCGAAGTTTCAAACATAATAATATGTCCTCTCATGGTAGCTTTAAGCGCTTCCCATAAAGTGGAATCTGAAACCTCTCCGTTGTCATTTATCTTCAAAAACTCTGTAAGATTTTTGTTCATGTACTCCTTAAAACCTGGTGATAATAATAATAGAGGGTTAAATCTCCACTTAAATTTTGGTTTAGAAAAAGATACTTGAAGCTGCAAAGTAACAGGACAATGATCAGAAATTAATAAGCTGTGATAGTTTGTATTACTAATCTTTGGAAATGACCGGGCCTCAGTAAGAAAGTAATCAATTCGAGTATATGACTGATGGTGCAGTTGGTAGCACTGTTGCCTCACAGCAAGAAGGTTGCCGGTTCGCGTCCCAGTGGGGGCACCGGAATCTCTGCGTGGAGTTTGGAGTTTGCATGTTCTCCCCGTGCAGCGTGGGTTCTCTCCGGGTTCTCTGGCTTCCTCCCACACAGTCCAAAAACATGTTGAGGTTAATTGGTGATTCTAAATTGTCTGTAGGTGTGAATGTGAGTGTGCTTGGTTGTCTGTCTCTAAGTGTGGCCCTGCGATAGACTGGCGACCTGTCCAGGTTGTCCTCTGTCTTCGCCCTGAGTCAGCTGGGATAGGCTCCCCCGCGCTCCAGCCCCCCGTGTATAGATAATGGATAGATGGACTGATGTACGTGAGAATAAAATGAATATTCCCTTTTGTCAGGGTGCTGTATTCTCCAAATGTCCACCATATTTCTAGATTTGATCAGATTATTTAATGTTTGAACAGAATTAATAGTTGGGGGAACTTTAGATGATGATCTGTCTAGGGATGGATTCAAATAACAATTAAAATCGCCACCAATCCCCTGGAGTAAACATCCTCTGGGAGTAAATCAAAAACCTTACAAACAGCAGGATCATCTGAATTTGGGCCATAGATGGTCAACAAAGGGATTGGAAATGAATTAATATGACCAGAAATCAAAATAAATCTCCCACTGGGATCTATACACTAGGATTTCAATATGAAAGGAATATTATTACGAAACAAAATTGCTACCCCCCTTGCACGAGTTGTAAAGGGTTCATGGTAGACCTGTGAGACCCAGCCGGACTTCAGTTTATATTCTGTATCTTTAATAGTATGAGTCTCTTGCAAAAACAAAATATCCGCTTTCAATGAATTTAAATAAGAAAATACCTTCCCACATTTTATATTATTCCCCAGGCCCCTCACATTCCATGAGGCTAAAGTAATTGTATCATTTAGAACTGAAGACATAGTTTCAAAATGATGGAAAACAATTCATATGTAAATTACACACTTTAATACAAAATCGTGATTGAATAGCCAAACAGACCGTCTCTCCCCACACTCCATCACACCCACACACACACACACAGAACACAGATACCCACCCCCCACCACCCACCCACCCACAAGAAGAAAAGACCCCATAGCAGCTACGGGGTCTTTTCTTGCTATGGGGTCTTTTTCTGGCTATGGCATAGCCAATGAAGCGCATGGCAATGACCCGCCGCCGAAGGTCTCTCTCAATATAATCAATAGAAACAAAACACGCTGTGACCCACAGCTTCTCCATGGTGGAATAAAAAAAAAGAAAAATTAAATCCCACCGTCCATACACGAGTTCAAGTCATCTGAGGGATAGTAGGCAAATAATCTTCCAATAATAGCCTCAAAAGTCACAGTTCACAGGCCTGCATCCCCATACAGTAG